ATATATATATATATATATATACACAAAAGTTGTAAATTATAATTATATATCTTTTTTTTAGATTTCATTTTTTCAAGGTAAACCAACGCCATATGAGCAGTGTAAAAATATGCTGGAAATTTGGGCGGAAGAAGACGTTGACGCGTCGATGGAAAATTTAGCATATATCTTAGAAGGTTTAAAATTTACAGAAGCATTAGCTATTTTAAAATCTTAATTATCTTTTAAAAATATAATTTATAAAAAAAACAAAAATGTACAGTATGAATGTATGAATGAAACTTTTACAATTTTTTCTAACATTTTTTTATAAATCCTAATATTAATCCTTAATATCACGAAATTAGTACGTTCAGTTATATGTGGGAAATACAATGGAGATAAAATATATATTAAAAAAAAATTTATATAAAATAATAAAATGTATATTTAATATGAATTTATTTTCAAATTATTGCTTGATTTGTGTTGTAATAATTTATGAATCTTCAAAGAAATTGTTTGAGATGACATATGATTTCTAGCTTCAATATAAATATAAATATGTTAAAAACAATATCATATTGCGCACATATATAAACTTTTTTCTTTATTTTAGTATATGGAATCCATATATGCTGTATTTTCCATATACAAATGAATATTCTACATACTTTAATTTTCAATTAATATTAAATAAAAATTATTAATAAAAAATGCATAAAAATTATACTTACTTTTATACCATTGTGTTGTAATCATTTTAGCAATTATGAATAATTTCTTAGGATTTGAACAGTATATATTTAGTTTGATAAAATAATGAAATTGTAAAAATTAAGATTTATATGATTAAGATTACAATGAAATAATTATATATTTATATTTAATATATTAAAAAAAGTAAATATTCCATATATATCTGTTCTTCCTTTGAAATAATTCGTATATATTTTAAGAAATAAGAAATAATTTTACTGATCTGAACGTAGCACAATTAGATCAATCTATTTTCAAATTCATTAAAGTATCGAAAATCGAATATAATATCGAAAATCGAATGTAATATCGAAGTCAAAATTCAAATCGAAGTCATATTGATAAATCGAATTCGATTCAAGACTCCATTAAATGTACTTTCCGTTTTTTATTTAGAAAGACAATAATAAAGTGTACAAATAATACAAAATTTCGAACTAAAACAGTCGTCGGTGCAAACTATATCGAAAGATAATTGGTTTTACATCGGTACGTCAAGATCTACATTACGGCATCGAGAAAATTTTCTTTCTTTATTTTCCGATATGAAACTCGCCAACAAGCATGCTGACAACCTAAAGGTATAGACCGACGTTTTCTCTATCTAATCGTAATAAATTAGTTTAACATTAGTAATATATCGTATCTTCGAATTATAGACACTGACTTAGACTCGATTTATGCTCGATGTAAAAGCAGAGGCCAACGACGATTAAGACAGCGATAGCTTGTGAGTGGTAACGTATTTCGTTTTGAACAAGAACTATACGTAAGTTATAAAATATTGCTACATATATACCGAGTAATTTTCGAAGCATAATTTATAATTATTCACAATTCAATTTCTAAATAATTCTTTTGCTGCATATACATATGTTACATCTATGGATCTGCAGCTTCATACATTCAATTATGTATATAATACTATCGCATCAAACGTGTCTGCCACAAATTATACACAGAGCATAAATCCGGATTCCAGATGCAAAAAACTTAATAATCTTTTACGGAATCCTTTTTTCCTTTTATCAACTTGTTTCTTACATCTAACATACACACTCATATGTATTGGCTAAAGTGTAAATGCAATTCGATTGCGGATATGAACTCCGACATTTTTTATTAGGTCGTAAGATAATCATTAGTTTATCTTTTTTCTTTTTGCCTTATTTTTTTTTCTTTTAATACCTTAAAGGTAAATTGTGATTCGGGTGAATATCTTGATCACGCTTCGAAGAATCTCCTCTCTGTAGCAATGATATAAGTACTGGACGTTTATTGTGATGTAGGGAACTCCTAATAGCGTCAAGTTTTTATTTGACGCTTGATAATGATGATGGATTAAGAGTATAGGCGAAGTAATTGATATGAAACACTGATTAATGTCTAAACGATCAGTCTTATTTCTTAAAGAGAGAACGGAAATTCGTTTAAAGCGTTGGTTAATGACTTGATAAAGATATCTTGTGAATTACAAGCAAATTTTATGATTAGAAATGAGATGGTATATTACATTGCATTTAGTAAACTATGTTTGAATGCTTGTTTTATGTTTCTTTCTTTTTTTTCCATTGTTTTTCGCTAGTTAATCAAACAGGAACAATATATGATTTACTCATCTCAATTTCTATTTATACAATGATATTGTTATCAAATAGTTTATGTTAAAAGATAGAAAAAGAAGAAAGAAGA